GAGATAAACCATAAGAGACTCTTAATCTTAGGAAACAAACCGGGTTGCTGGAGTAGAGGGGGGTGGGGCGGTGGGGTAACTGGGTGATGGACAGTGAGGAGGGCCCTCGATGTAATGAGCACTGGGTGTCATATAAGACTGATGAATCACTGAACTCTACCTCTGAAACTAATAATACACTAAGTTAATTAATTGGATTTAAATTAAAAAAATAAATTCCGGCCCTAAAGCATACTAACTGCCTTTGGATCAGTCAGGAAATAATACATATAAAAGTATTAGTTGGCGTAATGCCTGGAATATAGGAAGCAGTCCAGTAACTGTTAGTAATTAACAAGGATCACAGATCTCATTGAGCCCTTTTTCTGTGCTACATCCTGTGCTTGGTGCTAAGGAATAAAAAAAAAAAATGATAAGACATTCTTCCTAGGAACCTAGCACAGAATACTACTCTTTTCCCCCTCAAGAGCCTAAAACAATCTTAATCTAAATACTGAATAATAGATACCTTTTTTTTAAACAAGCAGTCTACACGTATGTATGTATGTAAAGATTGTATTTGTCAGAGAAAGAGAGCACAAGCAGGGGAACCACAGATGGGGAGAAGCTCCCGCTGAGCTAGGAGCCCCATGTGGGGCTCAATCCCAGGACCCTGGGATCGTGACCTGAGCCAATGGCAGACTCGTAACTGACTGTGCCACCCAGACATCCCCTGATACACAAACTTAAATCATTCACACATTTAGGTTTGTGTCTGGCTATTGCCCTTCTGTTGTGTATTAGCAACTGCCTTGTCTGGCACTGTCACAGGAACTGAGGATAAGAAATATGAATTAGATAATCACAGCTGCCCTCACTAGAAGCCCGAGGAGGCATGGTTTTTAGTTTGAAGGAACCAATGAACAAATACACGTTTTTCTTAGAGCATTCCTTGACGGAGCGTATTATTATCCTGCAGCTGGGTAACACTTTATATTTTGGATTTCTCCAGTTAAGCCCTGGAGGGTGTGTGGCATTGGAGTCCCATCACACTCAGATTTAATTTACTGAAAGTTAACTATAAATGTTATTTTCCCTAGCCACCCACTTTCCGCCACCTGCTCCACCCTCGACTTCACTTCCTAAATGAGAGGAGGAGCCAGAACAATTTAAATGTAAGCCATTCCTCTCAGTGAGCCCGGGCTCTGTACAGAGAGACTCACACCGGAGAACGCGAAGCTGCGTTTCCCTCCTGTGTCTTGTCATCACATGTGAATTCTCGTGTTTAAAAATAAGTACTGTTCATAAGAAGCGAGTTCTAAACTAAGTCAGCTATTTTGTGTGCTTTCAACTGAAAAACCATGTTCCAGTCCTATAGGAAAGCGCTAGCCATGTTGTACTTAGAGCCGGTGTGTTGATGCCCATTATGCTCTGTCTTCCGAAGGGGTTTCGGATGTAACATGACCGTCCAAGAATCAAGCCGACTTGAGGCCCCTAGTCCTACAAAAACACTCAAAATGAGTTGTCTGGATCCCTGCCTTCAGGGAGCTTATAATCTAATTGGAGAGAATATACTGGAAAGATCATCTCTTAAACAATCCGCAGTAAAGGATGTCAAGGAATCATAAGGATAAATGGCAGTTGCATATTAGAATGGCCCCTGTTTCACATGTTCTCTTCCATATACACGTGTTTCTGTTCCCATAAATACAGTTCTTTTTGTCAGGTACCAGATCCAGAGTCTATGGTTAAGCAAAAACAGTATTGCTGTCTTTAAAGAGAATACAAGAGAGCGAAGTGGTTTTATCCATCACAGTTTCTTGCAAGTATTGAATTGTGATTTAATAGATGGAAAGACAAAAGGCAGAAGGACCTTTTAGACAGGGCAAGTGTTACAAGCATGAAACAGGGATGTATGGTTCATCAAACAGACCTGTTTATCTTTTCGTATGGTTCATCAAACAGACCTGTTTATCTTTTCATTTGGCCAGAAGATTGGGAACACCCTGGGGGGTCACAGAGGGTAAGGGTAATGAGGAACATGACCAGTAGACGGAGGAGTTCAGATACATTCTCTTTACCATTATCTGTTCCTCATCTTACTCACAATCATTAACTGAGAACACAGAGACCATTTGAGATTGTTTTGTAACCCATCTCATGGTAACATTAAAATTGTGAATTTTTTTTTTTTTCAAACAGCAGTTTTAAAATGATTTTTCTATCCCGTGTAAAATCGTGTTGGATGTGGCTACGCAGTTATTTTGTAATCTGTTTTGGGGTCTGTGTGATGTACCAGAAAGGTCAGAAACAGGAGTCAGGAAACCAGGGTTCTGGCACTGCTCTGTCACCCATTCGCTCTGTAACCTTAGGCCAGTCGCTTTACCTCTCTGAATCTTCGTTTCTTCACTTCTCAAATGGTACACCAGAGGTTTACACGCTATACTTCACTTTTTTCTTCCTTTTTTCAGTGATTTCTTCTACAAGTGAAAGTTAAAACTCTTGTCGTAAAACAGATCTGATCTCCTTAGTGGGGTGCAGGAAGCTAAAAGCCCCAACTGCCTGTCCATCCCTACTTCCCCAAAGTTATTCCTGGAAGTCTTAAGACTCAGAAGAACACAAATGGAAAATCCGTGGACTAGATCCCTAAAGTTAACATTTTTCCGAACTTTAACTGAGTAGCATTTCTTAAAAACAGTTTTGAGGAGAGGGGCGCCTCGGTGTCTCTGTCCCTTAAGCAAGTGTACAACTTTTGATTTTGGCTCAGATCTCTGGGTTGTGAGGTCGAGTCCCATGTCAGGCTCTGCACTGTGCATGAAGCCTGCTTAAGAGTCTCTCTATCCCTCTCTTAAACAGAACAAAACAAACTTTTTTTTTTTTTTTTTTTTAGATTTTATTTATTTGTTTGACAGAGACATAGAGAGGAACACAAGCAGGGGGAGTGGGAGAGGAGAAGCAGGCTTCCCGCTGAGCAGGGAGCCCTATGGCAGCAGGCTCCATCCCAGGATGCTGAGATCGTGACCTGAGCTAAAGGCACATGCTTAACGACTGAGCCACCCAGGTGCCCCAAAACAAAACAATTTTGAGGAGATATGGCAATACTAACTGTAAAACAACCTATTGTACACTTACTTCATATAAGTTATGATTAGGTAAAGTAGGCAGTCTGAAGGGAAAAAAGCATAAATACACTTGAAATACAGTTGAAGGGTAAGAGGGGAGCAAAAGAAAGCCTCTGTAACTCTTGGTAACCCAGCTTGTATGGAGATTCAAGACAACTGGTTTGCCTTAAGATTGCTAGGGAGATTAAGAAGTAAGAAAGGGAAGTGAGTTTGTGTGTTTAATTTTGCAAGACTTTTTAGAATATTGCCTTAGTTATCTTTTGAATGGAAGTAAAAATTCACTTGGTACTAAAACCAGAAGAGAACAAAAAGACTTGAGCTGAAAAGACTCCCTCTGATCTGATGCCTGTCCTTCCAGTTCCCTTCTCTGGAGGCACTCAATGGTGACCAGCTGTGGAAGCTTCCAGAGTTTTTGGAATCACTTCCAGATTTTTTTTTTTTTTAAGATTTTATTTATTTGACAGAGATCACAAGTAGGCAGAGAGGCAGGCAGAGAGAGGGAAGCAGGCTGTCTGCTCAGCGGGGAGAGCAGAGAGCCTGATGCGGGGCTCGATCCCAGGACCCCGAGACCATGACCTGAGCCGAAGGCAGAGGCTATAACCCACTGAGCCACCCAGATGCCCCGGAATCACTTCCAGATTTATGAGGATATTAGTTTCCTGTGGCTACTGTGACAAATGAGCACAAACTGGGTGCCTTAGGACAACAGAAATGTGTTTTCCCACGGTTCTGAAGGCTAGAAGTTTAAAATCTGTATCCGTGGGCTGAAGTCAGGTGTGGGCAGGGCTGAATTCCCTCCAGAGGTTCAAAGGGAGAGTCCCTTCCTTTCTTGGGCCAGCTGATGTTGCCTGCCAGTACTCATTCCTTGGTCCCTGGCCCCATCATTCCAGTTTTTAAGACCAGACCTTCAAATCTCCCTCTGCTCTGTCTTCACATGGTCTTCTCTTGTGTATTTGTGTGTGTGTGTGTGTGTGTGTGTGTGTGTGTGTGTAGTCTCCTTCTACTTCTCTCTTAGCTGGATGCATGTGACTGCATTTAGAGCTCACCTGGACAGTCCATCTCTAGATCTTTAACTTAATCACATCCGCAAGGACTTTGCCATATAAGGTAACATTCACATGTTCCAGGGTACTACGTGAATTTGTTTGGAGAGGCCATTTTTCAGCCTACTACAGTGATAAAACAAATAGGATACTAATCATACTTCTCTGAACTTTGCTTCTAGGAGTGTAAAACTGGAATCATCTAACATTAATTCAAGACTGGCTAAATGATGAAATAGCCATAGAGTCAGGTATAGCGTCACCACTACAAATGAAGTGGATATATACGGACATGGAACCATGTTCACTATAAAGTAGAAGAAAGCAAGTTGTAGGACTTCATAGGGGTGGCGTGTGAGTTTAGAAAGATACACGTCACACCTGAGTGGCTTCCCCTGGGGAGTAGGAATGGTGGTTGTTTTGTTTTGTTTTTTTACCTGTTTGTACTTTGGAATTTTAAAATCAAATCTATTTTAGGGGCACCTGGGTGGATCAGTTGGTTAGGCATCTGACTGTTGGTTCCGGCTTAGGTCGTGATCTCGGGTCATGAGCTCGAGCCCCAGGTTGGGCTCAGTACTCAGCGAGGAGGCTGTTTGGGAGGCTCTATCTCTCTGCCCCTTACCCCATTTGCACGTATGAGCTATGTCCCTGTCCCTAAAATAAATAAATAAAATCTTTTAAAAATTTTTAACAAAAATAGAGAACTTGTAAAACAAGTACTTTATAATAAATTCATGTGTTTTATAATAACCCCAGAAGGAAATGGACTTGAGTTTAATTTTTCTGGATGAATTATGTTGCAGAAGTAATACAGGATTATTGCAATTTAACCTTTTTTGATTTGTTGCCCAGATAGCAGACCCTACATTAGCTGAGATGGGAAAAAACTTGAAAGAGGCCATGAAGATGCTAGAGGACAGTCAGAGGTGAGCCTGGAACAGAAGTGACCCTATTAAACGTGTTCAGCCTGTTGTGAAGCTGGTGGCACTGGTTTCCTGCTGGTAAAAACACCTCTTGGTTTCACAATGTCACACTTAGCTTAGCTTCATCTGACTTTAAAGACGGTGTTTGTTTTGCATAGAAGGTACTTTGTAATTAAAAGATTTTGAAATTGTGGGGCAGGACTTACTGATTTTCAGTTCTGCCTATTAAGAATTTCATTTACTTAACAGATTGATTTGAATCCTGTAAATGCTCCTTGCTCTATGTTTAGGTCATATAGAGCATCAGCTAACCAAAAAATGGGTTACAGTGTTACTCATTTCATGTTCCTTTCCTGAAATTCAACCTGTACCCCAAACGGGCTAGGCCAACAGGACTAGGGCAAGAGATGTGGGAAATGTATTTCAAATCCTATGTCAGTTACTAAGAGGTTAAAGGCAACATCATCACATGTTTACATGTTCAAATCTTGGAAATTTGATAAGACAGAACAAATCATTTTTTATTTCCTTTAAATTAGAAGAACAGAGGAGGAAAATGGGAAGAAATCATCAGGAGATATTCCGGGGCCACTCCAAGGCAGGTAGGTGACAATGAAGATACATATTTTAGTTGGGTATGTGTTTTCTTTAAATCGAGATTTCCAGACTATAGTTGATGGATAATTTTAGTTGTGATAAGCACAGAGCAAATTGAGAGTCCTGTACCGTGTCGTATCAGAAAACCGGAATGCCATTGGCTAGTTGTGATAATGCTGAATCTGCCTGCTTCTCGCCCTTTCCCATTCAGCATTTAATTTAATTTCGCATTCAGAATTTAAGAACTTCAGGACTCAAAAGTGATGCACAAACTTAAAATTCTGTAACTCGACTGTCATACTTAGTTCATCCTTGAAACTTGTCCTCTATTCAGTAGACTGGGCTTTATGGTAAGAGATATGTTAATTTGATAAGACGTATCAGTTTTATAATACAGTAAAATGAAGATGTCAGCTTCAATCTTTTGTAGGCAGGGTGATTTATATGTATATATTTTTTGGCAACTAAGCCAATCTGTCCAGTTTGTATGGTTGAAGCTAGTAGGCAAAGATCAGAAAAATAAGTAGCTGTGTACCTAAGATACTCACCGGATGTTAAGACTCCGTCTGGAATTAAAGTCCCAGCCCAGCTTCCCTCAAGCTTTTTTTTTTATAACCAGGAAACTGCACATAGGTAAACAGTACAACTCCCTTCAATTGTCCTTTGACCTGTATGTGAATCTATACAAGGTTGCAAAAGAGAAGCGTGGAGGAAGGACCACTTGTGTCAATTAGTATCCTGTCTAATACACCCAGATACTAGCATTTTACGATAGGCTTCCTGCCTGTAGCCTGACTGCTGATCTGAAGCCCTTGGATGTGAAGTGAGTTCTGCAGCTGAGAGCACAAATCAAGTCCTGTCACCCCCCTCTTCGCACACCTCTGGAAGAGAATGAAAGGGTTCTGCTGATCCCACAGAAATTTCCCTGCACGAGGTAGTAGCAGGAACTTCTCGAATTCTCGGAACGGGAAGGCATTAAAGCCACAGAGCGGGAGCAGTCACGCTTAATAATGCTGACACCAGCATGGGAGATCGTGTTTGCCAGGCACGGCGATAAATGTGTTCTGTGCACTGATTGTGTCCTCACAGCTCTGTAGTGGGGCTGAGGGAGTTTCAGCAGCTTGCTCAAGGTCACGTGCCTAGCCCCCACTGTCTCCACAGTGTCCGAGGGCCAGAGCCCCTCTCACATGAAGGTCAGCACCTTGTTTTGTCTGTGCTGCATTTTCAAAGAGACCCCTTTTGTTAGTCATATTCTCATTCATGGAGTAATACTATTTTTACATTACAGTTACTACAAGTCGCCTTGTCATTGCTTACTACCATAGCCATTCAAATCCTCCTCATAAGTTTTCAACCCCTCATGTAATAAGCGTTTAATAACATATCTTGGATAGAAGTAAAACTGTTTGCACTCGAAGTAGATCTCCGGTTTCCCTGCCTGGGGGAGTGGGGGTAAGAAGCGATGTTTGCATTACATGTTTAAGTCTGTTAGAACAGCCAGGCAAGACTCCTCCGTGGAGGGAAACCAGCCATACCAGTGGCCTCAGAGTAGTCTTAGTCCCGCTGTGACCTTCCAGCATCTTAAAAAGACTGTGTTGGTTCTTTAACATGCTTATTAAATGTTCTCCTTGGACTCAAATGAACAGGTAGAGAAATAATGCTGACGTAACACTGGTGAAATTTCAGAGATCGATCTCCTGTTTGGGTGGAAGATGTAATAATGACATGGTTATATTGCGAATTCGGTTCATTTGAGGTTTGTTTTTCGAAGATGTCTAGTGTATCTCAAGCACATGCTTATGCTCAATTTAAAAAGAACAACTCGCCAGAGCTGGTTCAAGTGAGGGAGGTAGAGTGGTGAGGGATGTGTGCTCTTTCCACCCACCGTCAGCTCTCTTCTCGCTCTGCAGTGGACAAGACATGGTGAGCCTCCTGCAGTTAGTCCAGAACCTGATGCACGGAGATGAAGACGAGGAGCCCCAGAGTGCCCGGTAATGTGGACGCTTGGCAGCTCCTGTTTGAAAGTATATGCGTTCTTGATTTTATAGCGATTGCATTCTTTTGTTTCGTTTTGTTTTTTGCCCTGTAAACAGTGATTGCAGTCTTACAAGTTGCCAAAATAGAGCTATGTTTCATTCAGAGTTACGTGTGATATTAAAACAGTGGTCATTTCTTCCCTTTCGGAGAGACATTGAACATATTTTAGGGAACATAACTTCCCTAGGAAGGAAGGTGCTCACTCAGACTCAATCCTGTAGTTTCTCTGGCATCAAGTCTTAGAGAGGGGCTGGCACAGAGACCAGAGAACACCGCTGAGGGCTTTCTGCCGCGGCTGGCTTCTGCCTCATGCTCCCGCCGCGGACCGCTGAGAACTCCGCAGCTGAATCTGTGGGTGGCAGGCCCCGCTGTCTGTGAATCACCCACTTATTTTTATTCATCTAACTTAGCTATTTATTTAGTTTCATGGTTAGTTGTTTTACATTTAATTTGGGGGGAGATAAGGAATGGCATTCTCCTTTTTCAAATTTCAAACACTAAAAAAGGCAGTTTTCAGTCAGTGATACGATGGCATGTGTTACCTGAACCCAAAACTGATGTGAATTCCAAAATTACAGAGGCCTTGGATGAAAAGGGGAATTTCCTCCATACTCTTCCCCTCCCCCTCCACGCTTGTTCTCGTGTGTTCGGTCAGTGATACCGTATGTGTATGTGTACACAAGCAAAGTCTCCGTTCCCTCCAGTCTGTAAATACTGTATGTTGTTCTGCACGTTGCTGTTTTCATTTATGTCTTGGAGTTCGTTATTTATCGGTATACAAAGAGCTTTTGCCTGTAAGAGCTGTTTAGTTTTCCTTTTGATGAATGAACCATATTTTATTTAACTGGTCTCCTGTTCATGTTTACTGTTGCAAGCATTGTGGCTGCCAGTAACTGTACGTGTGTCATTTATCATACAAACGAGGGCTTCTGGGGATCGAAGTCCTAAAGTGGTATCTGTAGGCCAGATAGTTTGTATATTTGTAATTTTGATAGATACTGCCAAATTTCCTGTGGAATTATGCCAGTTTATAGGCCCACCAGCAGTGCATGAGAATATCTCTCTGCCCACATCTTGCCTACGAGGCTGTTAGCAGACCTAAGGACGGTTGCCCGTCCGCAAGGTGAGCAGTGATATGTCGGCATAATTTTAGTTCACATTTTCCTTATGAGTCAGGTTCAGTTTCTTTTTATGTATTTTAAGGCCCATTTATATTTCCTTTTTTATGAAATACATCCTTTGCTCAGTATCCTGTCCAGTTTTTTGGTCTTATTCTTATCGATTTATACTTTTTGTAAGGGAAATTAGTCCTTCCATTTTAATTATGCATAAAATGCTACATGGTTCTCCTTGAATTTGCTGTATTGTTATAAACAGCCCATAGACAGTGTGTGTGTGGGGGGGGGAATTGATCTTCATCTAATGATTCTTTGAGAAAATTTTCTGCCCAGTGTATCTCAGCACTATGCTCTGTAGTTCTTACAGCTGACATTTAATTAAAAAAAATGGGGACAGAAAATTATTCACAGTTCGTATATTTAGTAGATATTCAATAAAAAGGATATATATCTCCTAGGATTTGAATTTTTAAAATCTTTTTGTTCCCCAGATTATCAGTACTTTATATACATGAATTTCCTAAATTTATCTGAATATTTGACTTCTAGGCCATTAAGTGGATTTCAAGTCTGACAGATTTCTGTGAAAACCCTGTGTCTCTAGGTTTTGTTTTATTGCTTTATTCATATTTTAAATAAATAAATTTTTTAAATTTAAAAAATAAAAATTTTAAATAAATACTCTTTTAATATAATTCATTTTGATTAATAGAATCCAGAATATTGGAGAACAAGGTCATATAGCTTTGCTGGGGCATAGTCTGGGAGCTTATATTTCAACCCTGGACAAAGAGAAGCTTAGAAAACTTACGACCAGGATACTTTCAGACACTACATTATGGCTATGCAGAATTTTCAGGTAAGGACACACATGAATTGGGTGCAGACTTTTTTTTGGAGCTGTGCTGCTTAAGTTCATGTCTGCTTTTCCCTTTCCTCTTGAAGGGTTTCTTAATCTCTGAATGTCTCAGTTTTATTAAATGGGGATAACATTAATATTTATGTCATGGTATTGTTACGAGGATTAAATGAGCGAAGGAATGAGCATATGTCAAGAGCCAAGAACATATGCACATATAGTTTGGATAATGTCAGAGTTAGTTATTTTTAGGATTCCTGCTTGGCATATGTTGATAGAAGATAGAGTAGGAAAAATGCTTGAAGTATTTTTAATCAAAATACTAGCTTGGGCTTTAGTAGAAGGGAAATGCTGCCATAAGGAATTTGAGTGTGTGTTATGAAATGGAAATTTGCTTTATGCTGTGATAATGTTGGCATTATTAAGGAATTATAGCAGGTGAGGAGTCAGTAGAAGACACAGGACCAGTGGTATTTTTGTGTTTATGCTGTTACTTATAATGAAAAGAGATGTTTGCCTAACCCTATAAGATTTAACATGAGAGACATGCTTTCAGATATTGGGAAAGAGGTTGGCCTGATGAGAATATAAACTGTATTGGTAACTGTATTGCAAAGAAGAAATTTTCTTCTATTCTAGTAATAGTCTACCACCTGTAATTGAAATTCTCTCTCCTTTTCTAGAAAGCAGACTGAGAAGAGTAATTGGCTCCAGGCAGATAATAGCAAAAGCAAAAGTTGGGTTGCCTAGCATTTTTGACAATTTTATTTACTTCGGATGTTTTAGGGCTAAAACTGCTAAGAAGCTTGAGTGTGTTATCTATGCTGGCCTTCTTGTAGAATAAGCCAAAACCACGATTTCAGCTTTTTTTTTTTTTTTTAAAGATTTTATTTATTGATTTGACAGAGAGAGATCACAAGTAGAGAGGCAGGCAGAGAGAGAGAGAGAGAGAGAGGGAAGCAGGCTCCCTGCTGAGCAGAGAGCCCGATGCGGGACTCGATCCCAGGACCCTGAGATCATGACCTGAGCCGAAGGCAGGGGCTTAACCCACTGAGCCACCCAGGCGCCCCTACCTTTTATTTATTATTTTTTAAAGATTTTATTTATTTATTTGACAGAGAATGAGAGATCACAAGTAGGCAGAGACGGGGGGGGGGAAGCAGGCTCCCCATTGAGCAGAGAGCCTGATGCGGGGCTCGATCCCAGGACCCTGGGATCATGACCTGAGCCGAAGGCAGAGGCTTAACCCACTGAGCCACCCAGGCAGCCCCGATTTCGGCCTTTTTACATCAGAGAGATTCCTCTCCTCTGCTGTTTTTCATGGTCGCTGCTCTCTGTGGAATTGAGTACAGATGAAGGATCGTTGCCTCTCTTCTGAGGCATAAACAAAGATTTAGGTATTTGAAAGAGTGAGCGAGCAGAGGGAGGGGCAGAGGGAGAGGGTGACAAGCAAACTCCCTGCCTGAGCAGGTAGCTCCTCCGAGGGCTCAGTCTCAGGACCTTGACATCACGACCTGAGCCGAAATCAAGAGTTGGAGGCGCAACCCACTGAGCCGCCCAGGCGCCCTTCCTCTGTTCCTTAGAGCCTCCAGCTGTACGGTGTGGTCAGCCATCGATGATGCGGGTGACCCCTATCTCCCTCTGACCGTTCTAGGTGACAGTTTCTAGGTTAAAAAGGAATTATTTCCAGGATTATAAGACTGGGATTGTAAAATCCGAGTTACCCAACGATAAGACCATATTGATATATGGCTGTCTCTTAACAGGTATGAAAATGGCTGCGCCTATTTCCACGAAGAAGAAAGAGAAGGACTTGCAAAGATCTGCAGGCTTGCTATTCATTCTCGTTATGAAGACTTTGTAGTGGATGGTTTCAATGTGTTATATAATAAAAAACCTGTCATATATCTTAGCGCTGCTGCTAGGCCTGGCCTGGGCCAGTACCTTTGTAATCAGGTAAGGTGTTAAACGGTGGATATTATAAAGCGATTGTGTTTTGTTCTGTCCTGAGCAGAATGGGTGTAATACACCCATTTCTTTAGCTCCAGTTTCAAAAGGAAAGAAACATTTGCTTGTTTTGTCATTGTCAGCAAATATATTAAAGTATATTAATGAATTTTCAGATATATATATGTGTCTGTGTGTGAAAAAAATACATATATATATTTGAGAGAGAGCACACGCTCGTGCAAGTGGTGGGAAAGGGAAGAGGGAAAGAGAGAATCTTAAGTAGGCTCCATACTCAGCGTGGAGCCTGACGTGGGGCTCAGTCTCACAACCCTGAGGTCATGACCTGAGCTGAAATCAAGAGGTGGACACTTACCCAACTGAGCCTCCCACATGTGGGGGGTGTGTGTGTGCGCGTTCAGTTGCGCGGAGGCAACCACAGTCAACATGGTTGTTTTTTGCAGAGTTTTTACACAGTTATGTGTTTTTACATGGTTATATCTGGCTTTTTTCATTTAGTGTTATAACCGGTACATATGCTGTTTGAACAGTTCTTCCAACTGCAGTTTATTTTTAGTATCTTCATAATATTCCTTTACATGACCGTATGGTATTTTAAATACTGTTTCCCTTTTGGGCAATTAAAGTGTTCACCTTCTTTTATTTTATTTGACCATTTTCAGGTAATGCTTTTTCCATAGGATTATTATGGACATCTTTGTGTACATAACTTCTTCTGTATTAAGGAAATATTTTCTATATTATATTGTTTAAATAGATTTTCAGAATCTATCTAGAATTGCTAGATCAAAGAGCATTACCATTTTTTAATTTCATGGTACATGTAGCCCGATTAGGGGGCCTACAAAAAAGTGTTCAGCCTCTTGGCCAAGATTGTTTTAAGGCAAAGCCATAGGATTAGAGGGTTTGTCTTTTGTAAGATGGAGGAGTCCTGGGGAGATACATGGGGGGAAACTCAGGGACTTAAGTTGATTAGGAGCTGTGGTCATTGGTGGCAAGAAATTATGTCATTTTTTTTTCTTCCAGATTTTGTTTGTTTATAAGCAAGAGTAGGGAGAGGAGCAGAGGGAGAGGGACAACAGACTCTGCACTGAGCGCAGAGCCCAACATGGGGCTTGATCTCACAACCCTGAGATCATGACCCAAGCCGAAACCAAGAGTCAGATACTTAACCAGCTGAGCCACCAGGCACCCCTTATGTCCTCTTCTGAGTGCATACAGAAAGAGCAGATTTATAATATCCTTACAAAATCCTGGAAGACATTACTTCCTAATTACTACAGGCCAGGTTCTTACGGACCCACAGTTGTCTTGGATCAGCAAGACAGTTGGGACAATTGGGACAGCGATTCCAGTTGGAATTGGGACATTCCCAATGCTTAGGAACAGCAATCCAATTTTCAAAAGCTGTATGGGGGCACCGGTGTACTGTCACAAGACCATGCAACTCTTAGTCTTGGGGTCATGGGTTCAAGCCCCACACTGGGTGTAGAGCTTACTTGAAAAAAAAAAAAAAAACAACAACTGTATAAAGGTATTTTGTTAAGTCAGGCAGATGGCAGAATAGTATATATACAGTGGTCATATTCATGTTTTTTAAAGTGTTTATGTGTGGTGTGCCTGGCTGGCTCAGTCAGTGGAACATGTGACTCTTGATCTCGGGGTCATGAGTGTAAGCCCCATATTGGGCACAGAGCTTGCTTTAAAGAAAGAAAGTGTACATGTGCATGTTTTTCATATCAAAAAATATATTTTTTTATTTTTTTTTAAGATTTTATTTATTTATTTGACAGAGATCACAAGTAGGCAGGGAGGCAGGCAGAGAGAGAGGAGGAAGCAGGCTCCCTGCTGAGCAGAGAGCCTGATGCAGGGCTCGATCCCAGGACCCTGGGACCATGACCTGAGCCGAAGGCAGAGGCTTTAACCCACTGAGCCACCCAGGTGCCCCTCAAAAAATATTTTTATAAATACTTAGAAAATATTTAGAAAGTTTTATACTAATTTGTTAACAGTAGTGGCTTGATGGCTTATGGGGTGGGAGGGGATATTCACTTTAAACTTCTATATTTTTTATTGTGTGTTTGACTTGGGCTTCATTTTCATAATTTAAAAAGAAAATCCGCTAAGGGGGAGAAAGTGTGCTCATTAAATTTTTGGTCTCGAAATGGTACTACCAAGTCTTAGTTACACAGGACAATATGCTGCCACTGTTTAAAAATTTCTTAAACTATAAACTCCTCAAGGATTGGGAAGCTAAAAATAAAGAATATAAAATTTATTTGACAATTACTATCTCCATTCATAACACTGACTTCATTTCTTTTAAGAAATGTACATCTGCTAATCCATATTTATTGCTTTTTTAGGAGTGGGTGGATCCATAAATGAGATCCTGTTCTTTGGATGCCTTTTGCTGGTGTTGTCACTAATGCTTGGAGGAAGGATCCTAAATTATCTCCCAAAATGCTTAGAGCTTGGTTGTTTCTTGGTTTGGATGTGTTTTTATTTTTTGGTATATTCTGGAATATAACAAAGATAGTTACCCATTTAGAACACAAGTTGATAGTTATTCATTTTGTTGACACAGAATATTACATTGTCTGTATCTTCTTACAAGAATCTCAGTGCCTGGGTAGCTCAGCTGGTCAAGTGTCTGCCTTCAGCTGAGGTCACGATCCCGGGGTCCTGGGATAGAGGCCCACATCGGGATCCTGGCTCAGCCAGGAGCCTGTTTCTCTCTTTCTCCCTCTCCCCCTCCCCTGCTTGCACTCTCTCACAAGTGTGCACTCTCTCAAATAAATAAATAAAATCTTAAAAAAAAAAAAAAAAGAATTTCTGCTCCTGGAAATTTGCCCTTTTTTTAAACGTGACTCTCTAGATGTACTTCAGCATCTGTTCATAATATGAAGAGTTCCTAAGGAGAGATATTGTTTAAAAAGGGTAATTTTGAGTTTCTTAGAGCCACATTCTTTAGGGGGCGTAAGTGAATGGTGGCAAAGCTCTTTCTTACGAAATGGTGTGTTTCTTCTTGTAGCTCGGGTTGCCCTTCCCCTGCTTGTGTCGTGTGCCATGTAACACTATGTTTGGATCCCAGCATCAAATGGTGAGTTCTCTTTTTGGTTTGTAAAATAATACAGAATTGTTTTTGAAACCTTGTCTTCCTTTCAACTGAATTCTGTTTGCTGGCCTCCAGATAATTATTGGCCTGTTCATTTATCACTTTTATCTTCCCACTGCATAGTACATGCTTCTGGGGTTGAATGTCCATGAAGGTTGGGTGATAGATAGATCAGGAGCACCTGCCTCTTAAGGAATCTTGTCATTACTGTATCATGTGCTCTAAGTAGTAACCTGGGAGTCCAATTAAGCACCAGAATTTCTTCTAAAGCTCATCCTTTGAATGGTTATCATTGTTGTTTGGATTTGTAAATGGCAGATTTTAAAAATGAGGTTCTTTATTGTAATGTGGGGTTGGAGTTGGATTCTGCTTTTTATTTTCTTAATTTTTAAAATTTTAAATTTAAATTCAATTAATTAGCATAGTGTATTATTAGTTTCAGTGGTGGAGTTCAGTGATTCATCAGTCTTACATAACACCCAGTGCTCATTATATCACATGCCCTCCTTAATGCCCATCACCCAGTTACCGCATCCCCCACTCCACTTCCCCTTTAGCAACCTTCAGTTTGTTTCCTGTGATTAAGTGTCTCTTACGGTTCGTTTCCCTCTCTGATTTCATCTTGTTTTTTTTTTCCCTCCCACCCCCTATTCTGCTGATTTTTAGACGTTCAAGTGTTAAGCCTTTCCATACTGAAGCCAGAAACAAAAGGGATAGATTTTAGGGTTCCCTGTTTCTTTTTCCAGGGTAGTTTGATCTTCTGGTTTGGATACATCAATGAGTAATATTGGAAATAAATTTTTGGTTATTTTGGGGGATTGAGAGAATATATTCTCATAAGTATTTAAAATTAGGGAAATATTTGTCCTGTATATATGCAGTTTTTAACTTTGATCTCATTTAAGTGATTTTTGTACTTAGTCTTCAAGGTAAACTATTTGATTTTTGTCTCTGTGATGGGTGAAAATAGAAAAATGGTCAAGAATAAGAGTTGAGCCTGGGTGGTTCAGTTGGTTAAGCATCTGACTTTTGATCTCAGCTTAGGTCTTGATCTCAGGGTCATAGTGTGGAGCCTACTTAAAAAAAAAAAAAAAAGGATAAGAACTGATTTGCATGATTTATTTTGAGAGTCATCTGCTTCTTTTGAAAGTTAGAATTTTTTATCGTATAGCTTTTTATGCAAGTTGCTTCATGTTTTTATGGTTTGCCTTTTTATCTAGGATGTTGCCTTCCTGGAGAAACTGATTAAAGATGATATAGAACGAGGAAAACTGCCTCTGTTGCTTGTAGCAAATGCTGGTGGGTATTATGAGCTGAATCTACCGTTTCAGATATGGGAGAAAGACTAGGTGCTTAGCCTTAAAAACAAAAAGTCCAAAGTAATGTTTGTGCGCCACATGGATCAGCACCATGGTGAAAATGACCGTACTACACTGGGCTCCTTTGATTCCCTTTAATTGTGGGCTTGTTTGGGGAGTCCGTTTACTGGGTGTGTGTCTGTTCTCATTTAGGTTGTAAGTACTTCTCTCTTTCGTGTGCTTCCTTTCTAAATTGAATTTTATTATTTTTTTTATTTATCTGACACAGAGAGAGGGAGATCACAAGCAGGCAGAGAGGCAGGCAGAGAGAGAGGGGGAAGCAGGCTCCCCGCGGAGCAGAGAGCCCGAAGTGGGGTAAGACCCTGAGACAGGGACCCAAGCCGAAGGCAGAGGCTTAACCCTCTGAACCACCCAGGCGCCGCTCTAAATTGAATTTTTAAATGTCATCCTTAAATGTCCACCTTGAACATGGCAGTTCAACCACCCCTTTCTGCTCTGCTTCCCTCATCGTATTTAGCATTGAACTTGAAGCTCTAGACAGTGCGTAAGGCAAGAAAAATAATGATGTGACGCACGTACTAGAAAGAACCAGCTGTCTTTACTTGCAGATGGCATGATTATATAGACAGAAAGTCATAAGGAAACTACAGAAAAGCCATTGGCTTTTCTGCAAATTTTCTGCAAATTTCTGAAAATAAGCAAATTGATCAGGGTTGCAGAATTTCTGTATACCAGCAACAAACCATTGAAATTCAATTAAAAATGCCATTCATAATAGCATCAAAAAAATGAAAACTTTATGGATAAATGTAATAAAATATATGCAAGATTTGTACACTGAAAACTATAAATGTTGCTGAGAGAAATTCAAGAATGATACAGCATACGCATCTGTGGAAAGACTCAATATTATGAAGTCTTAATCTGCCCAAATTAATCTGTAGATTCTACAGATCAGTCTCTATCAAAATTTCAGCAGGCTTCAATTTCTTCCAGAAGTTGATAAGCCAATTCTAAAATTTATGTGGAAATACAGAGGATTTGAGGATAGCCAAAATCATTTTGAAAAAGAACAAAATTCAAAGACTCGGGCTATATCTGGCTTTTAGACTTAGTATAAAGCCACAGATAATCAGGACAGTGTGGGATTAATTGAAGACAATAGAGTTTAGAAATAGACTCACATGTACAGGGTCACTTGACGTGTTACAAAGATGCCAAGGTATTTCAAAGGAAGAAAGGTAGGTCTTTTCCACCAGTGATCTTGGGACAAGGAGATAGGCACATGGGGAAAAAAAAAAACTGAACCTTTTGCTTACCTCACTCTGTATACAAAAATCAGTTAGAATTGGTTTATAGAACTAAATCCTGCAAAAGAACCACTTGCAGTGGTTGTGTTTGTTGAGGCAGTTGGTGAGGATTTGCAACCTAATAAGGTGGAATTCTGGTAACTGGAAGTTTGGGACAGTCAGGAGAAAGCACTGAGTCCTGTTTTACTCACGCTCCGGGAAGAGGGACCTGCCTATCCAGCCTGCAGTGTAAACGGACTTAACAAGGGGACAGGGTAAAGCACTCAGTATGTTTCAGCTGACTTTAGAGTGCACGTTCTATATTAAAACAAAGAACCTCTCGTATTGAGTTAAAAAAAAAAAACCCGCAAATTTATTTACATTTATAATAGGGCACCTGGGTGGCTCAGTGGGTTAAGCCGCTGCCTTCGGCTCAGGTCATGATCTCGTGATCCTGGGATCGAGTCCCGCGTCGGGCTCTCTGCTTGGCAGGGAGCCTGCTTCCCTCTCTCTCTCTCTCTCTCTCTGCCTGCCTCTCCGTCTACTTGTGATCTCTCTCTGTCAAATAAATAAATAAAAAAAAAAAATCTTTATAATAGACACACCTACATAAAAATAACCCAGAAAGTGACAAAAAGCACGCGTGAAAACGGGTATCTTGGGCACATAGTGACAGAATGAAAGTACTGTAGGCGTGTTAGTGTGAGATAAGGTAGACTCCACAGTAATTACAACGCATGTAATCCACTAAGACATAGCAGTTACGAATGCTGATGAGCATAACTGAAATAGATAAAGGAAAACCTTGGGAAAAATTGATAAAATACAAGCATAAATGGACAAACCCACTATCTTAGTGAGAGATTTGAATACCTTTCTCCTGAAAGAACATCAAGTAGATAGGAAAAAAAAAAAAAAAGCTTTAATAAAGAGGTTTTAAGTAACAGTATTAACAATCTTGCTTCTATAGATACATACAATGGAGACTACGCATACGTCGGAATTTGAATAACCAATTTGTAAAAGTTGATTTTAAGCCAGTTCACATAGCTAATCTCAATAAAACGGATATAATGTTACTTCCTTCTGAGAGATAATGTATTTCAAAGCTTCTATCATGCTGTAAAGACTCAGAAAGTACTTGTTCCTTTTAGTATCCTTTTTTGTGTATTTCGTCCTAGGAACTGCGGCAGTAGGACACACGGACAAGATTGGACGTTTGAAAGAACTCTGTGAGCAGTATGGCATATGGCTTCACGTGGAGGGGTGAGTGGAGGGCAAGGTTGGCTCTCTGGTGGGCCTGTGCGCAGTGCTCATCAGGGGCGGGCGTCCAGGCTCTTAACTTTGTTGTTAACGTTTATCTCTAAGGACTCTCTGGGTTCGGTAGTAAAGGTAACAAAATAACCCAGAGTGGCGTGAGCGAGAAGAGATTTTATTGGCTTACATAACTAAAAAGATGGTGTTAGGATTATTTTAGGCACAGCATCAGCCAGGGCTCGGCATCTTCCTCCCCCCACCCTCTGCCCCAGTCACTGGGCCTCATTTCCTCTGTGGTGCTTCCTATAGAGACTTTGCGATGTTGGTGCAAAGTAGTTGCAGTGGCCGCAGCTTGCTCTCCAGGTTTTTGTCCTGAGGGTCAGAAGTCCCAGCAAAAGTCTCCTACTGAGTCCCTCACCGTGGCCAGGGAAAGGTACCACTTCTGTCATGTAGGTGATATGCTCGCCGGTGGAGCAGGTGGTGGTGTCTCCACCCAGAGCTGTGGTCTGATGGAGGAGGTGGGGGTGGTTTCCCAGAATGGCTTAGGGGAGGATAATGGGCAGCTACAGGAAACCATCCCCGGCACACCATATGGGCTGGGTTATTTTGTCACTCTGGGAAAGCACTGATGACTGGAAAATAATAGGTTTGAAAGATAAAAAATAAGACAGCCATTACGTTGCATCAGCAGGTGACATCCCCTGACACACATTTGATTTAAGTGCATTTTCAAGGTTTTGCTGAAATTTGTATATATGCATTTTCTGGTGATACACTTATAACCCCGTTGAAAGACATTTTAATGTCAGTTTGAAACAGCACAGCCTTTTTTTTTTTTTTTTTTTTAAGTATAAACTGAGTGAATAAGCAGCAATAAATTTTTTTTTTTTTTCCCCAGTGTGAATCTGGCAACCTTGGCTCTAGGTTATGTCTCCTCATCAGTGCTGGTATGTGACTGATTTAATAAATATTGTGTTTTTAAGAAGGATTTAAAATCACTTAATCCCCAGGGCGCCTGGGTGGCTCAGTTGGTTAAGCATCCAACTCTTGATTTTGGCTCCCGTCTTGATCTCAAGGTCATGGGTTCAAGCCTTGTGTTGGGCTCTGTGCTGGGCATGAAGCCTACTTAAAGACAACAGCAACAATCCCTGATGGCTTTTCATGTTTTTTAATGATTGGAGGAGGGTGTTGGGTTTAATGGATTCTGATAGTCTGTAGCAAAAAGTTGTTTTCTCTTTGGTAGGCTGCAACCAAATGTGACAGCATGACATTGACTCCAGGTCCATGGCTGGGTTTGCCAGCTGTCCCTGCGGTCACCCTTTATAAACACGACGATCCAGCCTTGGTAAGCTCACTCTCACTGGGAGGGCCTGGGGAGTGGCTAATAATCACTCTGGAGTCTGGGAGCAAAACATGGAAAAAGTGAAAAATTTCCTTAATGCCAGTTCTGTGACTTTTTTTTTTTAAATCAAAAAAATATTTCTAACATAAATGAAACAGTACTGTGTATGTTTTTTTAATATATTCTCATAGGCCCCCATGTGTATGAAGAACGTTTTATGACATTTTATGACTGTGTAATATTCTCTTATTTACCTCGATTTAATCATTCTCCATTTGTCAACTTTGAGGATGTTTTCAAATTTTTGTTACTAAAATAATGAGCATCTTTCTGTACTTCAAATTATTTCCTTAGAAAGGGTTCCCAGAAGTGACCTAACTATTAAAAGTCATTAAAGCTCTCGATCTCCATTATCTAGAAGATTGTAGTGTATTTTTCCTAAGAAGTGGTTCTTAATAGTCGATCCCTCAGTGACAGGCCTATGCAAAATAAGCTTTGAGTGATTCTTACTAAAGCACTTAATGTCTTGCTCAGTTGATAATGGTCCCCTGTTTGAGGACACTCAGAACAGCTTTGGCTCTGGGACGGGACCCATCTGGATTCTCATCCTGGCTTTGCTACATCTGAGCTGTGAACCCTTGAAAGCAAGTTCTCTGACTTGGGTTGTCTAGAATACTCCCCTCCTGGAGCCTTTAGGTGATCAGACAAATAAGGCCAGCCAGGTGCCTGCTGTAGCATCTGACACACACTAAGTGCAGAGGGAAATGGTGACTAATCTGTGTCTTCATTGGCTTTGATCACTAAAACCATATTGGCTTCTTTAGACTTTAGTTGCCGGTCTTACATCAAACAAGCCAGCGGACAAACTCCGTGCCCTGCCACTGTGGTTGTCTTTACAGTACTTGGGGCTTGATGGGATTGTGGAGAGGATTAAGCACGCCTGCCAGCTGGTGAGTAGAAACCTCAGGTTTGAATGAGCCACCAATACTGTGGCAAAAGCAGTGACAGAAAACTGCCCCATTGCCTCACCCGCCGTCCATGACCTTGTTGCCTGGATTTGGCTTCTCCTAAGTGACCAGAGAGCATGCGTACATTTCCTGTGCAAAGTTCTGGGAGGGACTGCAGGGGTGTCCCAGCAGTTGCATCCACAGACATGAGTTCAGAGGAATGCTCATGTGAACACAGGATGAGAGAAGGAATCACAAGATGAGAGCCAAGGATTGGAGAAGGAAGCAAAAGGGGGTGGTGGGGGAGTGTGGTAAATGAGGCCCCTGACTGGCTGTCTCTTGAGGGGGAAGGAAATATGGCTGCTAGGGGTTGATGATAGATGGGCTGCGTATTTTTTTTTTTTAAGATTTTATTTATTTATTTGACAGACAGAGATCACAAGTAGGCAGTGAGAGGGGGAAGCTGGCTCCCTGCTGAGCAGAGAGCCTGATGCGGGGCTCGATCCCAGGACCCTGGGATCATGAGCTGAGCCGAAGGCAGAGGCTTTAACCCACTGAGCCACCCAGGCGCCCCTGGGCTGCATATTTTTAATACCAGCTGGTTTGGGCTCCCAAATGGCAAGGCTCTAGGGACAGTTCTGTAATTTTCCTTCCTTCCATATGAGGTGTTCTCATTGTGAAGATGTAATTACGCTCTAGTTTAGATAGCAAAGAAAGTCATGTTTGTGCCGTTTGAGAGCTGAGTCTGGAAGCTTGACGTCGCCTGTTTTGCTTACCTGGTAGACGGGTGATGTAGTAAGAGATTGTAGGACTGAATGAGCTCAGACCTGTGAGGCTCTTAAGAGTAGTGCTTGATCCCATGCAGATGGATTTAAAAATAAGTCTTTGTTTTAAATGTGTTCTGTGGAATCGATACTTCCTCACGTGTCATTTTTATGTTTAGGGGAAACTAGTGTCTTCGTGTCCCTATAGCAGCTGTCTTTGGGTTTGTCATGTCAGGATCGTTCATTCTAACACTCATTTCTAATGCAGCAGAAACACTATAAATGAAGTAGTTTGATTTTTACATGAGATGATTTTGAGGTTTCTGTTCATTAGGTTTACAGGAGCACATTTTGGGAAAAATGTGGTCACTGGACTGTCGGCTCATGTCTTGAGGTTTGGTTGTTCAGAAGGGAGAGGCCTTTATTGCCGAGGTAACTCGGGCACTGCAGGGAAGGTCTGGGCGTCAGGGGAGGGCTCCTCAACTCCCTCAGGCTTGCAGAGCACAGGAAGATAATGAGACGTCCGCTCCCAAGCCCTTGAGGTCACTGCGGCTCTGTCTTCCTGCAAGCAAGCACCGTAGCTGGTCCCAGGACCGCCGAGCGCCTCTGATGGCCTGTCGCTGACTCCCCGCTGCTCCGAGTGCGCGTGAGACTGTGGGGACACGTAGCACATGTGGTTATCTGTACGGTCATGCCTCTCCGGGTATCCTCCTCCTCCGCTTCCTCCCGTCGTCATCGTCATCACCGTCTTCATCCTCCTCCTGGAAAGCAGCTACAGAGCGTTTACTCTGCGCACAGTAGTGCACGTGCGCGGTCTCATTCGAATGTTCCTAGACACGAAGGCCACAGGTAATGGCGTACTGGGTAGTTTTCGTGAGGGGTTTTCCAGTGTCTGATGCTCAGTAAATAACTGCGGAATGAATGAACCCAACGCCGTGAAATAGCCGCTCGTTGATCCCACATCAATAACGAGACCTGGGACGGAGCTAGCAGTACAATGAGGAGGGGGTCATCGCACAGGCAATGCATATGGTGTTCTAGAGGCTGTTTCCAGGCTCCTGCCTAACAACCCTGTCAGATAGCTACCCTCCCGGTTTTCTCATCGACGGACCCAAAGCACAGAGAGGCTGAACAAGGTGTCCAAGGTCATAGCTAGTAAGTAGCAGATGGACTTGGGCCTTGTCCTGTAGGTGAGGTTTTGAACTCAGGTGTGCGTATTGTAGACCCGTTCTCTGAACAGCATTTCCTCGCTTACCTTGGCTCTTCTTCCCCAGTGTCCTGTTCTGTGTCTTGTGTGCCTTTGCCTCAGTTGCTTTGTGGGGGGGTTTTGAGCTCTAACTGGCATGTAACGTTTTATCAGTCTCCGGAGGACAGCCTAATGAACAGCATAATGAACCGGTGTTTGTGTATATTGGGAAGTAATCGCCACGGTTACAAGTCCAGTTAACCCGTGTCACTATTCATTGTTACAGAATTATCTTCGGTTGTGATGAGGACTTTCAAAATTTACTCTTAGCGATTTGCAGATAAGCAGTATAGTTCAGAACCGTCGTTACCATGCTGAACATGACATCCCTGTGACTGACTTATATTACAACTGGAAATTTGTATCTTTGAACCACCTTTACCCATCTTTCCCACCTCCCATCCCCTGCCTCTGGCGGCCACCAGTCTGTTCTCTGTATTTATGAGCTTGTGGGGTTTTTTGTTTTCTTTTAGATGCCTGTATAAGTGATATCATACAGTATTTGTCTTTCTTGTCTCACTTATTTCACTTAACATATCGTCCTGAAGGTCCATTCAGGTTGTCACAAATGGCAAGATTTCATTCTTTTTTATGGTGAATAAAACTTTGTTGTGTGTGTATGTTCTGCACTACCTCTTCTTTATTCACACATGCGTGGATGGACACTCAGGTTGTTTCTTTATCTTGGCTGTTGTAAACAATGCTGCAGTGAACGTGGGGGTGCAGTTTTCTTTTCAAATTGGAGGTTTTTGCTTTGTCTGGATAAATATCCAGAAGTGGAATTGCTGAATCATATGGTGGTTCTGTTTTTAAATCTTTGAGGAACCTCCGTATGGTTTTCCATAGGGGCTGTGCCAGTTTGCGTTCCACCAGTAGTGCTCCAGGATTTGCCATTTTCTCCACATTCTTGCCCACCTTTGTTGTATCTTTTCTCTTTGATACTGGCCATTCTGACGACGCGGGGTGACATCTCATTGTGGTTTTTGACTTGCATTTCCCTGATGAGGGGTGATACTGAGCATCTATTCGTGTGCCTGTTGGCCATCTGGATGTCTTCTTCGGAAAAATCTCTATTCAGATCTTCCCATTGTTTAATCAGATTTTGTTTTTTTCCCCTTGAGTTGTAGGACTTGTATATATTTTGGACATTAACTCCTTATTAAATAATTTATTTGCAAGTGTCTTCTCCCATTCAGTAGGCTGACTTTTCATTTTGGTGTTGGTTTCCTTTGCTGCACAGAAGCTTTTCAGTTCGATACAGTTGTTCATTTTTGTACTTGTTGCCATGTACTGAGTAGGTTTTGAAAGAATGAATGACTTATGTTGCTAATATGACAAATTCACTTGTGTCTTATAGAAAAAGCTTTTCTAGAAGCACTACATGTAACTTTCAGCTGAAACATGGGGGAACGTTTGCAGTTGTTGGAAAGCAAGAATTGGCAGCCTAACTCAGGAGCCATTAACTGACAGATTTGCCGGCCTTCAAAGACCCTCCTGAAAACCAGTTCTTAATGTGTTATGCTTGGGGCTCCTGGGTGGCTCAGTGGGTGAAGCCTCTGCCTTCGGCTTAGGTCGTGATCTCAGGGTCCTGGGATCGAGTCCTGTATCGGGCTCTCTGCTCAGCGGGGACCCTGCTTCCTCTTCTCTCTCTGGGTGCCTCTCTGCCTGCTTGTGATCTTTCTCTCTGTGTCGAGTAAATAAGTAAAATCTTAAAAAAAAAGTTTATCTACTAAAATTATAATAAGTAATTATTAAATACATATAATGTAATGAAATTATAGTGATTATTAACTGTTTTTTGTCTTTTGCAGAGTCAGCGGTTACAAGAAAGTTTGAAGAAAGTGAACCACATCAAAATCTTGGTACAGTATATAATTTGACTGTTTTTGAAGTGAATAGTTCAGGTTCAAGTTAGAATGATCATTGTGACAATTCTAATAAAACTGCATTCTCTGGAAGAGAATCATGATGACTTTAAGTCTGTAGAAAGCTTAAACCTTAGAAATTTTTACCATTTGCTGAACCCCTTTGGTCCTTTTCATATAATCATTTGTAGTCTTATTCTGTTAAAATTTAGAAATGCGCAAAGAACTCACAAACATGATTGACTTCACTGCCAGTGATTTTAAAACACCCATCTTCCTGATACGAAAAGTCATTTTGTCTCTCACAGTATTTTGACGACATTTTCAGAAACTTTCTGACACCAGAGTTTTCATTTGCACTGAGTGGGGATTAAGGAAGAGATAAGCACATGACCTTGCTCTTGTCTTCCCCTGGTATCTCCCTACGAGATGCCAGACTCTATCAGAGAGTGCTGTCTTGGGGTAGTTACCAGACGAGGAGGTGAGGATTTAGCAGAGCTAATAACCAAGTATCAGTTGAGGCTTGAATGTTTGCATGTTTTGCTTCATTGCATTTCAGAATTTCAGAAGATATAAGTCAGATTCTAATTTAAAACAGGGTCACTGGTTGCTGCAGGACACAATTAAGTGTAAAACTAATACTTGAGTTAGTTTGGGGTTCAAGTTAATACAGTAGATTATCATTTAGTACATGATTTCCGTTAAGTGCTGGATAGGGGCTGCTCTGCGTTTGCTTTAGAGTAGGAGCTTGGAGCTCAGTTGACCTGAGATGACCCAAGTTCTAGCTTGGAAGAGGACAGTGGCCCATTGGAGAAGCAGAGAGATGCACATAAATCAGGAGACTTGGGTTCTAATTTCAGCCGTAGTGCTGAGGCCCTGTGACATTGAGTCACTCTCTTAACTGCCTAAGCCCGTGAGCTCAGTTGTCAGTGAAGGTATGTTGGTTGGACTCCTTTAGTAAACAGAAAAGCCCAGACTATGGACTAGCAGGAGCAAGATGGCAGGAGTCACGGCAGTGCTGGGCCAGTGGACTTTCTTTCCCTCCCTCGCTGAGCCCACTTGGGCTCCTCATGTCCCTTCTCCCTCCTCCTCCTCCTCCAGGCTGGGAGATTGTGCTGGTGCTGGTTAATCACCAGTGGGTTTGGGGCATCTGTGTAAGGCCCGGTAACCCTGCCCCAGCACTCCTTCTAGTGTATGCTTTTCTCTGGAGACGTACAGCCGCTGGCCAGCCCCATGCAGCACTGCAGCTGCGGTAACCGTCCTCCTCCCAGCTGCTGGGAGTGAGATGCGTGCTGTGCGCTGTGTCCGGCGCTGAGCCTGGGCGTTCGTTCATTTACCCCTCACTGTAGTGTCTCCATTCTAGCTGGAAACACTGTCCCTTTTCCTTCTTTTCATTTCATTTCCCTCATTTCTTACCCTTCAGATCTGAGTTCAAATACCATGTCTTCAGGGGCGCCTAGGTGGCTCAGTTGGTTGAGCATCCAACTTCTGATTTCCACTTGGGTTATGATCTCTGGACCCTAGGACTGAACCCCTAGTCGGGCTCTACATTCAGCTGGGAGTCTGCTTGAGGATTCTCTGTCTCCCTCCTTCTGCCCTGTTCGTGCTCTCTCCTCCTACCCGTCCCTCTCAAATAAATAAGTAAATCTTAAAAAAAAAACAAAAAAAACAAACACCAAATGTCATGTCTTTATAGAGGCCCTGCTTGACTGTCCTGTGTAAACCAGCCCTGCCACCGTCCATCACTCTGTCCCCTGGGTGTGTCCTTCATTGCAGTTCTTATTACCCGAGACCATGTGTGTGTTCCTTGTTTGTTTTGCTTTGTAAAGGCAGCGACTTTTGTCTTTTGGCTTTTTCATACTGTGCCAAGTGTAGGATTTGGCCGGGAGTAGGTATTAAGCACGAATAATAAATTCATTCTGTGAGTTGGTCACAATGGCTGTCCCCTCTTTCCTGGGGAGGAAGCAGGCCCAGAGCAGTTCAGTGACTTGCTCAGGCCACACAGCTAGGACGTGGTGGAGCTCGGATTCACACCACAAGGCCCGTGTTCTTAACCAGGGGGGCGTTCTGTTCCCGGTCCGTTTTCAGGAGAACTTACTGTTTGTCCTGCTTCGGTGACCGGTTACGAAGAGCAGATCAGATAACGTGAGACAAAGCGGGTTGAAGAATGTAAGGCCTCACGAACTACCAGTCATCACTGGATGGTTTTGCTTTGGGTCTTTGGGCGGCGCTGCCAGAGAATCCCAGGCATTGAGTCCTCACCGGGAGTCCCTGTGGCGGAGTGACGCCACTTCTCTCTTCACTGTGGCTGCCTGTCCCAAGTCCCATTGTAGTAGGTGGCTGAGCCAGGACTTGTACCCAGCGTGTCGAAGACGAGCCATGTCTGCAGCACCAAGGCCCCTTGGTGCTCCTTCTCGAAGGCCCCGCGGGCCTCCTCCCCCGGTCAGATGGCTGACCCTTCAGGAGCCGCCCAGTCCCGCAGCACAGCCGCGCTTCCCCCGCCGCCCGGATACCTGGGGCCGCTGCCTGTTCCGCGGGGCGGAGCCCGTCTTCTCAGCAGCGGCGTTGTGGCCACTGTCTGACCAGCTCTGCTGGGTGCGTGGGCTGTGCTCTAAGCTCAGCATTTAGGGGGAAGCTAATGTTTCCCCCTTATCCCTGAAACCTCACAGGGCCCCTGTGTACAGCTGACATTCCTGCTGGCTGTTAAGATCGTCTCTGTCCTTGGGTTCTGCTACTTTGACCGTGGTGGGTCTAATTGAGGATTTTCTAGAACTCCTGCTTGGGACTTGCACTTATTAAACGTGAGGGTTCCTTTTTTCCCTAATCGATTCTGTCAAGTTTGTTTTTTCAACTGTGACCTCTTTCTCCAGTCTTACCTCTGGACCTTGAGTTGGCAGCATACTGAACCTTGTCGCTCCATGATCGTCCGTCCCTCTGACACGTCCCATCACTGCCTCTTTGCTGCTGCCTCGTGAGTTTCTCCAGGCCTTTCTTTGCTCCTGAGTGGCCTCTCATCTGCGTCAGCCATTCACTTTGTGTTTCAGTGACTTTTTCTTCCTTCCAACATGTTCTTTTTAGTTCTTGCTCAAGTTGATGCCTCATTTTTGGTCTTTTTTTTTTTTTTTTTTTAATTGCTCCTGGTCTCCATTTCTCTGTAAGCATGGTGGTTACTGTCTATTTCTGATTGTTGCTTAATCTTGGGTCACCCCTGGATTCACACGGACTTCTGCTCCGTGTGTGTGTGTGTGGTAACTTGTCATTGTCAGCTAGATATTTTTGTGTGTGTGACTGGTCCAGGTCCGGGTCCTGCCAGGTCCACAGCTTTAGGACTCTCACGCCACTTAGGACATCAAGCCCAGTGCGATGTGCACCTGATGCTTTGGTCTCTTGTGAGAGAATTTTCTCTCCCTTTGCAGACAGAGCCTCAGGCAGGGGGAAGCTCTCTTGCTGACCAGCGGGTGGAGTTTTTCCTCTCAGGACCGTCCTTCGAGGGTCCATTAGCGCCATCCGCACATGGGCCTGAAGACACTAGATGTGAAAGACAGCTTCCTGTATCTCCTCTCCTTCCTCCAGCCCTGGCTCGGCCGACAATATTCTTTGCTTTCTCTTCTTCCTGGGTTCACTGTTCTTGTGAGCCTAACTGTGGTTTAAAGGTTTTTTTGGGTTATCAGGATATTGAATCCAGCATTTCAGTCTGCCGTGTGCTAGAACCAGAATTCTGTGCACGTAACCCTGGACAGTATTTCTCATGCACTGACATTTGAGACCACCGAGCTCAAAGAAACAAGAAACCAAGGATTGTATTAAACTATATATAGAAGTCTCGGCACTTGAATCGTCCTGCCTTATCCTAAGTGAGGATGGGGGAATGGCTGTAGAAGTTTGCTGCTTTTGTGTCTGTTTCCATCTTGGGTTTGCTCCATTCTATTTAGACATTCAGCCCCTCCAGCTTTGAAAGTATTACTAGATGTATTTACGTGACAGGTAGAGGAGATGACGGGTGAGCACAGGAACCAGCCCGGTCAATTGGTAGGTTGGATACACACTCTGCTTGATCTAAGTCACATCCGTGTGGTCCTTTGAGAGGTTAGTAGAGAAGACCTTGGGCCAGCTCCTCCCTGGCTTTGCATGTTAGCATTTCTACCATGGAGAGTCTTGGAAGATAGGTTGGGGGATCTTTTTGTTGTTGTTTTAAAGATTTTATTTGAGAAACCATGAGCAGAAGGGGGGCAGAGGGAGAGGGAGAAGCAGGCTCCCCGCTGAGCAGTGAGCCCAAGGCGGGGCACAGTCCCTGGACCCTGAGATCATGACTTGAGCCAAAGGCAGATGCTTAACTGACTGAGCCACCCAGGCACCCTGGAAAATAGGAAGTAGGTTTTATGTCTAGAATTGTTGAATGCTCAAAGATGTTCTGTCCCTGTGTGCCATCGTCTGTCAAGGGGCGTTGCTGTTCCCTTTGTATCCTGACCCTCTGATGGAGCTGATGGCGAGCTGTGTGTGTGCAATGATGGACATGAACTCCATGCTGGCTTATCTTAATGCAGTGAATGCTTTTGTCTGTAATGAAATCTATTGATGAAGTTAGTCATCTGACCCCTGTCCCGAATATAAGGACCACTTCAGTGTTGGAGAAGATACGAAGCTATAGCTCTGGACTGTGTTTATCTTCTTGCCGGGGAGACTTACATCCTGTTCTGAGAGTGTTACAATGTGAGAATATTTTGTCTGTGAATATAAAAAGTTGCAGTCAGTCCTGCTTGAGTTAGCGTTAATTTCTAGATTCTTGAAAGCTTCAGCTGTCCCAACACTGATTCTGGTTATACTTTTTCCTTGCCTCCTTTGATCTTTAATGGCAGGCTTACGTTCAGGAGTGGTGCAGTTTCCTCCTGCTTTAATTTCAGCGCACCAGTGTCAAGATGTCACAGTGCAGGAGAGCCTTCTCGAGCCAGCTGAGAATTACTTATGAGAATTTTACTAAACCCTTGATTGTTGTTTCTGTAGCAGCTGAAATTAACCTTTGAGTTTCACATGTTGATTAAGAAAACATGCTATCTGTAGCCTGTTGTTCAAACCCACAGTTTTATTTTGCAGGTGTTGCGATTTAATGTTACTTGGTAATAGCAGATTGATTTTTCAGGTGGAAGATGAGCTCAGTTCTCCAGTTGTGGTGTTCAGGTTTTTCCAGGAATTACCAGGCTCAGGTAAGTGATTCTAAAACGTGTTATTTTTGTATTTGTGTTCAAGGGCTTCGAATTTTAAACCATTACAACGTATATAGATAGTCCAAAATATTTTGACTGCTAAAATCTTCAGTCATTGTTTCAGAAAATGTTAATAATTTTCAGAGGCACCTAATTTTGGCTCAGGTCATGATCCTCACGTTGGGTGTAGAGCCTGCTTAAGATCCTCTCCCTCTCTGTCTGTCGCTCCCCACCCGGCTCTTGCCCGTGTTTGCACTCACTCACTCTGGGGAAACAACGACACAACAACGACGACAACAAAAACAAAAAACCACCTCACAAAAACTCCAGGCCTAAATGCCTTAGCATTTTGCTAATCGTTTCCTATGATCAAAGCAGTGGTTTCCAAATGCTAGTCCCTAGACTAGGACTAGAATGAATGGGTAAGAGTCCCTTGAGAATAGAGATCTGGATACACACTTACATACCGTGAATGTGAGTATCTGAAGTAGGGCCCCCGAATCTCTCGTTTTTTTGTGCTTATCGTGGTTTATTTGTTAAGTACTTTAAAATACAGGGTAAACATACATTAAAGACATGGGCAGAGCCTTTTACGAAGATGGTGCTGAAAGCTAAGAAGGAAGCCCTGCCCCTCCCAAAGCCGAAGCCAAAGCAAAGGCTTTGAAGGCCAAGAAAGCGGTGCTGAAAGGCGTCCACAGTCACAAAAAAAAGAAGATCCGCACATCACCTACGTTCCGACGACCCAAGACTGCGTCTCCGAAGGCAGCCCAAATACTCTTGAAAGAGCTCCCCCAGAAGCAAGCTTGATCACTATGCCATCATCAAGTTCCCCCTGACTACTGAGTCAGCCATGAAGAAAATAGAAGACAACAACACACTTGTGTTCATTGTGGATGTCAAGGCCAACAAGCACCAGATCAAACAGGCTGTGAAGAAGCTCTATGACATTGATGTAGCCAAGGTCAACACCTTAATCAGGCCTGATGGAGAGAAGAAGGCATACGTTCGGCTGGCCCCTGACTATGATGCTTTGGATGTTGCCAACAAAATTGGGATCATCTAAACTGAGTCCAGCTGGCTAAATCTAAATACAGTTTTATCATGATTAAAAAAAAAAAAAAAAACGACATGGGCAGTTGAGATTGGGAATAACATGAGGCTGTATTTAAAGGCTGCCCAAGTGCCACCACCCTAGCACAGGGCACGGTTAGGTGTCCCCTGGACAGCCACAGTACCCGCTGAACTGCTCTCTTACTTCCGTGTACTGCACACACCTCATTCCAGACCATTCTCTGAATGCAGAGTGGGTGGTGATGCATGTGGCAGTCCCGTGGTGCGTGGTCACTGCCCAGACGCTTCAGTATCTTACTGTTTCTGTTGAATTAAGTCCAAGCTCTGTACCTTGTGAGGCCTGTGGGGTCTACCCTTTGCTGTCTCCTTTAGGCCACATCTCGTCTTGATCACTGTGCTTTAGTCAGATTGGTCTTGAGTTTCTAGAACATTCTGTTCTGTTCTAGAGCAAGACCTTTGCAATTGCTGTTCCCTTTGCTTCAAGCACATTGCCCCTCAGTCTTCTGGCTGGCTCCCTGTCTTCATTCAGGTCTCCAGAATGTCCAGCCTCCTCAAAGAGGCCTTCCGTGTCTGTCCTGTCTTAGGTGACTATATCAGAGTCCCTACCTTCTTTCTTCACACCAGCAACAAAATACGTTGATTTCATTTTTTGCTTTATGGTGTTTCTCAATAGACTAGAAACAGTAGGATGACAGAAGCCTTGTCTGCCTTATATCCCACGTGCCCAGCATAGCACCTGGTACGAGCAGGCACCCAGACCATTTAAATGGAAGGATATAATTTTTGTTGTGAGGCCCACTCTGGGCCCTCTGGGGTTCTGTTCTCTGATTTACCTCGCACAGTGGTTGATAAGACTTGGTGATTTAAAGTGTTAGAGTTTCATTTCTTCTCAAGGTTCCTTGAAAGAAGGACTCCTTTCTTTCTTCCATTTTTAATTTTTATTTATTTATTTATTTTTTAAAGATTTTATTTGTTTATTTGACAGAGAGAGCTCACAAGTAGGCAGAGAGGCAGGCAGAGAGAGAGGAGGAAGCAGGCTCCCCGCTGAGCAGAGAGCCCGACGCGGGGCTCGATCCCAGGACCCTGAGATCATGACCTGAGCCGAAGGTGGACACTTAACCGACCGAGCCACCCAGGTGTCCTGAAAGAAAGACTTCTTAAATGAAATTAAGAATTCCATTTGTGAGACTATATTCAAGTATTATATTTTTCATGAGGAAAAAAATGTGGAAGCTTAAAACCCCCAATACACATTTTCAAAAAAGTTTAATTATGGTAAAAAGAAAAGTTTACTATCTTATGTGTACAGTTCATTAGGGTTAAATGTATGCACGTTGTTGTCCAGCAGCTCTCCAGAACATTGACGTCTTAAAAACAAACTCCATACTCATTACACGCTAACTCCCCATTTCCGTCCTCCCTCCCAGCCCCTCGCGACCACCATCCACCTTCTGAGTTTGACTCTTGTGGGAACCTCCTATCACTGGAGTGCTACGGCATGAGTCTTTGTAGTAACCGGCTTGTTTCACTTAGTGGAATGTCCTCAAGGGTCATCCCTATTGAGCTTGTGAGAGAACCGAACCTCCTTCCTTTTTGAAGATGACCATGTTTTGTTTACTCATTTATCACGAGCTACACATTTTAGTTCCTGTAATGTTTGCGACTTCTCTCCTGGACTCATGTTGGGAGCTCAGTGAAGTAGGGTTTGAGGGGTGCATATAGAGCTGTGTTTCTAGAAGGTGAATCCCCTGTGTTCTGGTGTCAGATCCAGTGCCCAAAGCCGTCTCTGTGCCCAACATGACACCTTCAGCAGTCGGCCGGGAAAGACACTCCTGTGACGCCCTGAATCGCTGGGTAAGAACCGCGGTCCTGTGCCCTTCCTTCTCCAGCCCAGGTGGGGGCACACGTGCTCATGTCGGGGAAGTCAGACCCCGGAGGGACGCTCCCGTGGAGGCACAGGTCTTCCCACCAGGGCTCTTCGGCCGCTGAGGACGGCTCGACGCCACATGCCAAACGGGGACTGTGGGGCGGCCGCTTGGGTCTTGTGAGCGTCTGTAGCGGTGTCGGAGGGCTCGTGAGCCAGACCCACCCCAGCACCTGGCCATCTGATGGCACAGACCGAGGACATTGTGCTCCTGCTGCCATTCGATGCAGAAATTGAGCTTCCCGGATTTGTGTGTAAAGAATGTTCTGAACAGTGTCAGGGTGTCCACCACAGCCGTGTGGTGTCATGTGGGTCAGGCCCCACCTGGGGGCTTTGATGAGTCGGGATCCATTCACGACAGGCAGAACAGCCATTAGAAACCATGTTGCTGGGTGTTTATGGCAGAAAGGAAATGGTCATCGTAGCTTACATGAAAAGCTGCAGGTTACTGCCCGGTACGTAGAATGTTGTGTTTTATGGCAATGGAAAAAACAGACACCCGGGATGGGTCTATCAGACGTGAGCAGTGGGTGCTTCTCAGTGGTGTGCTGTGGGTAATTTTTATTTTATTCTTTTGGTTTGCCTGTATTTCCTAGATTTTTCTACACTGAAGTTGTATTTTTTAGCAACAAAAAGTGTAGAACTTTTAGTCCGTTTAAATGAAGTGGCCACAAGTATTCAAAGAGAATCAAAAGAATCTGGGGGCCTTGCCCCAGGGAGCCTCCGGGCCTGGGGCTGAGTGGGTGAGGGTAGGTACGGAGACTGGCGGGTCCCTCCCTGGGGGAGCCTCGTCACTGTGCCCTTGTCCCTGCAGCTGGGAGAGCAGCTGAAACAGCTGGTGCCCACGAGCGGCCTCACAGTCATGGACCTGGAAGTGGAGGGCGTGTGCATCCGGTTCAGCCCTTTGATGACCGCGGCAGGTAACGGGCCTCTGTGGGTTGCCCGCGCTGGTTCTGGGAGCGGCGGTGAGCTGAGCGCGCAGTCCGGGCTGTGGCTTTGTTTGCTGTTCTGTGGGGACTCCGCTCTGCCTTCAAAGGGGCTTTTTCTTTGCCTTTGCGCTATGCATAGGTAGATGAGTTTTCCGAGTAACTTCTCAGAAATAGCCTTCTCCAGTCACTTGAGTCTCCCTGTGTTTTGGTGTCTTGGCGCCCTTCGCGGTCTCCTGCGTGGTGCTCAGTCTGCGCCGTGGAGCTGCGGACCCCGGGGCTGCCCTGCCTGCTGAGATGCGGGTCTGTGGGGCGGAGGCCACGGCTGTGTCCCTCAGAGCTCCCCAGGCGGTGTTTGCACAGAGCCGTGGAAGCTGAGGGCCGCTGTCTTAGGTGTCATAGAAAGCGGGACCGCTGCAAGTACGCGGGCTCCCACGATGGACCGTCCTGGGCCCGTCTTGGCCGTTTCACACGTGTGGACACCTCAGCGTGCGGCCTCCCGTCCAGACCCGCTTCCCACTGCCAGATGCCACCCGCCCGGGGGGTGGGGGCGGAGGTGGGGCCGCCTCCTGTCCTGGGACTGAGAAATCGCTGACAGATGCATTAAAAACTGTGATGATGCTGTTTTCTGAGATGATTTAAAAGATTTTCTGAAAATCTTTGATTTTTTTCTTTATCAGATATTTTTAACATTTTTGAAAAGATTCTTGATCTAAAGCCTCAAAGTAGGGGGGTGTGGGCATTTGTCCTGCAAAGAAAAGCCCGCCACGAAGACGGCTGGTGGCCTTGTCTGCCAGGGATTTCTGCACCTGCTGTGTGGGGCCTGCGCCCCAGAGGCTTAGTGTGTAAACCCGGTGGAGCGAGCCGAGGACATCGGGGCAGCACGTATGGAGGCTCAGTGGGATCCCTTGCCCCGTCTGAGTAGCACGTGCTGGGTAGTGATGTCGGGTCCTGCACCCGTGGGGGCGTCAGGCTGTCCCTGGGAGCTGTCGTCAGCCCGCCCTCCTGCCTCCCTGCACACCCCCGCCAGAATCCCTGCCTCCCATGATGCTCGTGTGCAGCAACAGCCATGTGCTTGCCTCGGCTTTTCTAGCGTGTCGTACAGTGTTCGTGACTTGCGCTGAGTCCGTGAGAAGAATCTGATTTCTCTGTCCGAGTGTCACTGTGTGTGGCGCCGGGGCTCATTCTGTCTTCTGGGTAAGAAAGCACGGTGTCCGCACCCGCAGGAGCGGGCTGTGTCCGTTTCCAACGCCCGATCTCTCCAGAGGGGCTTAGTAGCCTTTTTTGTTCCTTTCTTTCTACTGCTTTAGCTCCTGCTAACCAGATGCCCCAGAGCTGCCGAACTCCCGAACAGTGAGAGGGGAGCCCTGCTCTGTAGTCCACCATGTTCTTACACATTTCTTGAGCTCTGTGGGGACGGTTTCAGTTTTAGGCACCCGGGGAGAGGACGTGGATCAGCTCGCGGCCTGCGTCCAGAGCAAGCTGCCGGTCCTGACCTGCACACTGCAGCTGCGGGAGGAGTTCAAGCAGGAGGTGACAGCAACGGCAGGTCTCCTGCACGTCGATGACCCGAACTGGCCTGGAATAGGGGTTGTCAGGTACGTGTTCATCCCGCTCGGCCGTACAGAGACCGCGGGTGCGTCATACTGTGGACTGGCTCTGTATGGGCCCAGCGTACACATCTCTTAGAAGTTCAGTGAGATCCTTTGGGCACTTAGAAAAGCCCAGCGCAGCGGTGGCGTGGCCATCCTTGCCCTCAGTAAAATAGAGATCCCTGTATTTTCTGTGCCAGCTCGCAGGTGACTGGGGGGGGGCACTTAGAAGTGCACAGCTGACTGATGGTTACTCCCATGGGGTACAGGGAGCCACAGATCACTAAGACCAGGGACCAGCTCACCGGCCGAGCATACGTCTCTGCCCTCTGTCGCTTGGTGCGCACGGTTATCCCTTCTGTGGGGAGGGGACACTCCCTGCTTCTGCTACAAATGAGGCTTCCAGACCTGGCCTCTCTTAAGTTTCATGGACTGGAGACTTGGGCCTTCCTTGCCATGTTCTTGACAGTGTCTGACCCTGAGACACTCCGAGGCTCCTCGGCCCATGTGTCTCACCTTCCAGGCAATAGCCAGTAGCTTAGACCACTCGCAGTCCTGTGTGCGAAGAGGCGTCTGACCTTTTAGACTGAAATACTGTTACTTGATATCGTCTGTAGGTATGAACATGCTAATGATGACAAGAGCAGTTTGAAATTAGATCCAGAAGGAGAAAAAATCCATGCTGCACTCCTGAAAAAGTTAAATGAACTGGAATCCGACCTTACATTCAAAATGGGTAACTACTATTTTTATAAGTCAACGCTGAACTTCGGAAGGCCATTTTCTGACTGGTTAAGGGACTTTGGGCTCTGTTTCCTGGGAGGAAATGCTGGTTTAGTTCTTTCTAGGGTGGGCTGGCTCCCTCCCGCTCCCACAGCCTGTCCAGGCATCCCTTGTCCCCGTTAGCACTTTCCTCACCCGGGGAGGGAGGCTCCTTTGTGCCTGGTCGTGCCGTCATACAGGAAACTGGGCCCCGGACGGTCTTGTGACCCAGGACTGGGGAACCGAGTCGGTCGGTTGTTTCTTTCCGCAGGCCCGGAGTACAAAAGCATGAAGAGCTGCATCTACGTTGGCATGGCCAGTGACGATGTGGATATTTCGGAACTGGTAGAGACCATTGCAGTCACAGCCCGAGAAATTGAGGAGAACTCACGGGTCCGTAAGACTAATCTGCGTCTCCTTCCTTTTCTGGGTTTTCTCCAGGCAGCTATCGGAGGTCCCAAAGGAAGCCACTCCCCTCAGAAATACCTGTTTGTTCCTGAAAAGTGTGTGAAGGCTAAGCCTTGCGCCGGGAACCCAGAAGCCCATGGGGACTGGACACAGTCCCTGCCCTGGGTGGACTCACAACTGGGAGGCCGAGAACTGCAAAGCCAGGCGAGGCAGTAAATGCCGTGGGGGAGAAGTTAAGGGTAGCAGAGCGTTCGGAAGACACGGTCACCCCTGCCTGACAGGGTGAGGGGAGACTTCCCGAGTGTAGCTGGTCCTGGAGCTGCATGAGGCACATGTTTCTCACAGCAGAACTTCCTGCCAGTAATAGACCTTCTTTTGGCCAACTGTTAAGGAGACCAGACTGTAGACCTCACGGATGTTCTGCAAACCAGGTACTTGAGTCAGTAGAAATCCCTCAGAAGCAGAGAAAAGGAACTAAGGCAAGATGGCTCTGAGGAAACCAAAGCATGTGAGCGGGTCACTGCTACTAGGGAGGGGAGAGGAGGCTGCCTGTGAGCTGAGGAGCCGGCTCTCTTCAGTCTCAGGCAGACTTCCTCAAGGTTTTTCTAGACTCACTCTGTCACTTCCAATTCCGTTCCATGAGTGCTGAGCCGCTTGTCTGTTTTCTGGTGGGGGGGACACAGATCACATTTCTCTTGTCCCTTCCCTGACAGATGAGGCTGGTCACCGAGGTGTGTCTTAACTTATCCAGGCATTTCATCCTCTTCTGTTTAATTTACTATTTTACTTTCTATCCTGACACTTAAAAGTGCAAGATTTCATTTACTACTACACTTCTGAAAAATGTCGCCTGTGCTGTGGTAGTAGTTCTAGGTCTCAGGCAAGCTTAGACAGCTGGAGACTGGGTGGCTCAGTTGGCTGGTGTCTCACTCTTGATTTCGGCTCAGGTCATGATCTCAGGGTCATGGGATCAAGCCCCACATTGGGCTCTGGGCTAAGCACAAAGTCTGCTTGGGATTCTCTCTCCCTCTGCTCCTCCCCACACTTGTGTGCATGCGTGCACACACACACACACACACACACACACACACTCTCTCTCTCTCTTTCTCTCTCTAAACAAAATCTTCAGAAATCTTGGACAAGTAAAGTCTTTCTTGGTCCTAACACAGCTTCTAGAAAACATGACAGAGGTGGTTCGAAAAGGGATCCAGGAAGCCCAGGTTCAGCTGCAGAAGGCAAACGAGGAGCGGCTTCTGGAAGAGGTGAGCGCGAGGCAGACCTCCCAGCTGCCGCCGCACCGGGGCCGGCAGGACGGTGAGCAGCAGTGGGTGTGTTTTGCAGGGGGTGCTGCGGCAGATCCCCGTCGTGGGGTCCGTGCTCAACTGGTTTTCTCCGGTACAAGCTTCACAGAAGGGAAGAACCTTTAACTTAACAGCAGGTAGGACTGACCAACATCATCCCAGGTCTCACTGATTTTGCGAGTTTTATCCTGGTTCCTGGGATGCCCCACTCGAGCGGAGGAGCCCAGTGCGCACACAGCCCGTGCCAGGAACCGGTCCCAGAAGCTGGGACGCATCTGCCCTGGGGACACTACGGTGTTGTCTTCCTCTCCGGCCCCCTGGCTGTGGCGACATGAGAGCAGACCCCCACCATCCCGTGGGAACTGCTTCCCCGGCCCGTCACGTCGTCCCCGCAGCGTCCTTTGCTCGGCGCTCAGCCGAGTGCTTCCCGCAGTCTGTGCGCGCTTGGCCCCAGCTCCTCAAGGGAGACGAGAAGGTCGCAGTCCAGAGCTCGGGCCGGCTTACTTCACAGCCGGCGGCCAGAAAGTAGTAGCAGTTGCCGGGAAGGATGTCCCGCTGTCGCTCTCTTCCTTTCCTGTACTGCTGGGGGAACAGTACGCTCAGCCTGGGGTCCCTCCCTCGGAAATGACGGCGCCCGCCGTGTCCTCGGGCCATAATCTGATTGACACGCCAGGCCTCCGCCATCAGCAAGGCGTCTGTTCCTTGTGGCCAGAGCACCTTCCCCATGCGCACGTCGACTCCCAGGCATGCTCGTGCCACCCTGCTGGCCGAGGACCGTCCCAGGGGGGCGGGATCCCCGGGGAGGTTTAGGGTGGGGACCCCTCCCCCTCCTGCGGGGCTTTCTCCAGGTCCCAGTGCGTTTCCAGAGGCCCAAAGGCTCTGCTGGTCTGAGTGAGGCTGAAGGGCCGGAGGAAGCTTCTCGGGGAACGAGGCTGCCTGGGTTAGCTCCCCGGGTGGCAGGCGCTTACTGCTCTCTCGGCAGGCTCCCTAGAGTCCACGGAACACACCTATGTCTACAAGGTCCAAGGCACGGGTGTCACACCCCCGCAGACCCCCTCGGGCACGCGCACGAAGCAGAGACTTCCAGGTACGGGACGTCTCCCGGGGGCGTATGAACCCCGAGAACTGGCGGTTCCTCTGGGGAACGTAGACCTTCCCGTCCTGGGGCTTTTCCTGCTCCCTGCGTCCTTCTGTTGTCTCGGCACTTTCACCCGAAGTCCTGTTCCTCTTAAGACTCGCTTCATCTTAACCTCGGCAGTTGCTTGGAGCTTTAACTTGGAGAATCTGCAGCGCTCCACGGGGCGTTAGGGCCCCGCGAGCTGGCATCCCGTCTAGCCTGGTGTCGACCGGCCTCAGCCGCGCCGGCTTCCTGCCCGTGCTCCTTCCTCACCTCCTCCCTCGGGGGCGTCCGAGCTGGGGATCGCAGGGCTGCTCTGGGAGCACGCCGGCAGCTTTCAGCACGGTCCGTGCCTCTTTCTCTAGGCCAGAAGCCTTTCAGGAGGTCCCTGAGAGGTTCCGACGCTCTGAGCGAGACCAGCTCGGTCAGCCACAGTGAGGACCTGGAGAAGGTGGAGCAGTTGAGCGGCGGCCCCGAGCCCGACGCCCCGGAGCCCGGAGGCCCCGAGCCCCCTCCCGGCACTCGCGCCCCGCCGGACGCCGAGCAGACGGGCGCCCTCCGCAGCGGGGCCCAGCGCCCGGAAGACGACCGTCCGCAGGTAGAAGAACCGGAGAGCTTAAGATAAAAGTCAGTGTTGTGCTTGGAGACTGTAGTATCGTTTCAGGGAAGAAGTTGTTCTACTGACAGTGTGAACCGTGCCACGTGCTAATGCGAGAGAAAGGACTGTTTTTGTGCGGAACTGGCATTTTTGCACACATCCGTGCCTGAAAGCCAGACTTTTTAGAAGGGCAGTTGATGGTCTCATTCCATGGGTCTGTGGAGCAACTCCTGTCGTTTCGGTCTGCCCCGCTGTAGTTCACACCGGTTTCCCCCGTTACATAAACACGTTGATTCACAACACTTAAGAGCTCAAGAGCCCGCCTCTTGGAACACTCGCGCTCACCTTTCTAGATCCAAGTGTAAGACGCCGTATGCGGTTACGTGTAACTCTCCACTGAGGCCGCTTTCGTTAGAGCCGCTGGGCTTGCGCCGCCCCCGGGAACAGCGGGCGGGGCGGGCGCTCGGTTTGGTGGGGCTGCAGCGCTCCGCGGGCATGGATTCGGCTCGAAGGAGACAGGGATTCAGTGGGATGGTGAGCGAGCCCCAGCCCGGGCCTCCCGTGCCCGCTGCTGCTCCCCCGGGGCTGTGGGGGCCGGGAGCCCCCCCCCCCCCCCCCCCGCCGCAGGTCATTTCTCCCTTTATGTACTATTTGTAAACACATTAAAGGACTATCTATGAAGAGTAACTGTAAAACTCTTGACCATATATATGTATATTTTTAAATATGGGTAAAGCTTTTAAATTGGCACACAGGTGTAGGCTGTGCTCATTTCTATGTTTAATATCTGAAAACCTGATAGAGATGCTCCTCTTAACCAATGTGAACTAAGTTCCAATTCTAGAACAAGTAGATCTTTGACCCGGTTGACATGGGAGCTTCTCCCCACTAGCAACTCACCTCTTTGGGCCCAACTCAGAAACAAGAACCAGTGACGTCCCTTCGCTCGGGCTGGTCAAGCCAGACCACTGCGGAAATAACTAGAAGTAAGCCCTTGATTACTGCCCGTTTCTACTTCTCCAGAATTACCGTGTCTCTTCATTTATCCTAGGTAATGGCCCCTGTGCCTTTAGTGCAGCCAAGTCAAGCTATGGCCGCCTCAAGGTAGTGGGGATTCACACTGGGTTTGTAGACTGTCCTGTTGGAAGCCTTAGTTACACCATATTAAGCCTATAATTAGACTCTGATTGGATGTGATCTCTGACATTTGGCACTTGTCAACATGTAATTTTCTTTTTCTTTTTTTTTTGGTGCAGATGATTAAAGTCTTCCCTGTTTATTTGGTGCAATGAAGTATAGCAGATAAAATGGGGAAAGGGGAAATTATCACCTTTAACAAGATTAATTTTTAAATGTTTTTATATATATTTGGAATTGTTAAATTGGTTTTGCTGAAACAACTTCACCCTTAAGACACTATTTGAATGTTGGTTTCAATAAAGGTTCTTGAAATTGTTACCAGTGAGTTCAGTTTCTACACAGTAATTGATCAGACCTCGTGACTGCCTTTTCAGAAGCATAAAGGTCTCTACAGGTATGACTGGCATAGATCACAGTTGGGGCATTTTAATGACCTTACACCTGACAGAACAGACTTCAGTGGCTTTGTGCAGCTCTCATTAAATACAATCTCCTAGGAGATTATTTTGATTATATTGCAGAGCAGACTGACCAGATTCTGACGCTAGCATTCATCAAGAAGTATGATACCAGCTTTGAAAATGATGCTTCTAAAACATTTTGGGGGCCAAAAAACCCCTCTGTGAGATGCATCAATTTTCAGAGAATTTTAGTGCATTTTAAATACTGTTTTTTAAACAAACTTACCGGTTTTCCATTACTCCCTGACGTAGCAGAATGAGGAGCACTCACCGCGTATCTGAGACGGCTGCTTATAGAGTCACGAGGCAGGCGGCTCCTCCGGTGCCCTTGTTACCAAAAAGGAGAGGCTGGAGGTCAGCTTCCGAGAAGCAGAAAGTAAACCCTGTAACAAATGCCTTTGCCAAAATAAGATTTTATTTTGAAAGTCATTTGAAGGACAGTAAGGAGGGAGACCTAGGCCTCGGCAGATGGAGACTCTGATGCCCGTTCTCTGCAGGCCCCGCGGCGGCCCTCAGGCCGGCAACATGCTTGCTTTGGTGATCTCGTGTTCAGCTTCCGGGAGAAGAGATCTTTTCCCACAAGCCACCTTCATTCTTTTTGTAGAGCAGAGCCTTGTTTCCAGGAAACAGTGCGCTGGTGGGAGATGGGTGTTTTTTTAAAAACATCAAGGTAGACCTAATATGTTCCACAAAGTGGGGCGGCTCAGCCAGAGGCGAAGTGGAAAGGTTCTGGAAAGAGAAGATTCAGCGTATGAGACAGAGGAACAACCTGGCTGTTACCTTTCCTGATAGAGCCGTCGCAGTATCTCCGTGTTCTTCAACCCGGACCTGGACACTCAGGTCACCCAGCATTGAGCCGCTGCAGAGTGACCAGGCGGGAGGGGCCCCGCGCCAACGGGGCAAGGAGGTTGGCTGCATCCTCCTCCCGACCCATGGGCATGCCGCGGGGACCCGACGTCCCCGCTGACCTAGAAGTGAGCGGGGTCTGCCGACGGCGGCCTACAGGTAACTACCGCCCACCGCGAGCCGAGCAGCTCTGCTCTAAGCACCTTTTCTCTTACAGATGAAGAAACCAGCGTGCAGAGATTTACCCAACCCGGAAATGTTCACCTCCAGGATCTGCTTGTCGTCTTGCTGCAGCCAGAAGTCCACGTGCGGGAAGGGCACCCAGGAGTACGGCCCCAGACGCAGGTGTTCAGTCTCTGCGTCGTAGATGCTAATCATCTAAAACGACCATTTCAGGGGCAGAACGTGAGGCGAGCTCCCCGCTTCTCAGAGCCCGCCAGTGAAGCCGGCCCAGGGTAGGCCCGCAGCCGCGCCTTTACCCGGAGGACAAGCTTCTCGAGAGTGTCTCACGGAAGCTGCTCCGGCCCTGGGTGAGTCACAAGCGGTATCGCCTCAGTCCCGACGACAGTCCTCCAGGAAGACCGCGTTTTTCCCACTTGGGGGGAAAACCTGAGGCCCGGAGGGACAGGCACTTGGGCCCGCGGCGGCCCACGGCCCTGCGGGGAGCAGCGGCCGACCCGGCCACGCAGAAGCCGCCCGCCGCCCGATCGCAGGCAGCGAGAGCGCCGCGGGCAAGTGCGCGTCCGCCGGCCGTCGGGCTCTGCGACTGGACTGGGTGGCGGCCTTAGCGGACCAGGCCATGGCGCCGCGGGACAGAGCGCAGGACTCGTCTCCCCGCTGCGTGCGCTGAACCCACACGCGGCCCAGGACGACGTCCACACCCCGTCAGCGGGCACGTCCCTTCGCGGCTGTGACTGTGGCGGCTGGTCTCGCCCCGGGAAGGGGCCGGAGAACCCTTCAGGCATTTTTAAATGACATGTAAGGCTTGGGTGGTTCTTTTTCCTTCAAAATGAAGGTATTAGTATTAAAAAGCATCCTTGGCGATCAGACTTGTGGAAAGTGACCCGATGACTCTTGGGGGCGAATCCACGTGTTGCGGCAGATCGCCCTTCTGGGACGCGGCCCACGTGCGTGTGGCCGCCGAGGTGCAGAGGCCGAGACCTCTCCCCGCTGTCTGGCTCTGCTTTCCTCGTGAGTCGCGTGTAGGCCAACGGTGCACCAACAAAAAGGGGTTCGTTCTCTGCACTGGATGCTGGGAGCGCACGTTACCTCCCTGTACCCCTTCAGGGCCGAGCGCCTACAACCTAAAACCATTCCTTACTCTTCTGTGTTGTGTGTGGAGGGGAGAGAGGTGACCCCTGATCATTCCATAGCTTTAAAGAAACTCCTATAAAACGTTCACTTCTAAGGTCTATAAAACTTGAGGCTTTGGAGTGCGATGCCCTTTTCTCCCCAAACCCCTTAACACAAAGATGATTTCACACTCACTGGTCCTCCTGTTAAAGCCCGGGCAGCCCGCAGCGCCTCCTCCGGACCCCGGTCTGGGAAGGACGCTCGGTAAATCTCCGCGGTCTTAATGTTGACAGCTGCGGGGGACAGAGGACATTTTCTTTGACTTAAGACGCAAATGGAAAGTTCGCGTGATCTTACATTTCTACCACATGTAACAAAGTGCGGAGTCTCCCCGAGAGAGAGGAGAGTCCTCTTGTTCCATTTCCGCTGTGAGGTGTCTCCAGCGTCCCCCTTTGCGGAGGGGGACACCGCGGCCTTCCAGCCGAGCCCACCGCATGCACCCCTGGGGCCTGGGCCAGCCGAGGGGACACTCTGCTCCCAACCCAGGGTGGCTGCACGGCACCCCCAGCAGCCTGCCATTCCTCCCGGCGGGCACGTGGCCGACCCCCCTGCTTGGCCCGGGGCACAAGTGTGGCCTGGGATCATGGCCAGATCCGGTGTTTGTGATCTGGCTTCTCTGGAGCCGAGAGAGCTTTACACCTTCCTTAGGAGCAACTTCGTTCACAACCAGACCTTACGAGGTTGCTTGTGGGTAAGGAGATGCAAAGGCCCCAGCTGCTTGGAGCCCCGTTACCACTGCCACCGGGTCTGCCTCCCACCGGCTCCCTTGTTTGTCCTTCATGGCCTCAGAGTGTGGACATTCTTGGTTTCATAGACAGAGGTCAGAGAAGGCACGCTCCTTGCCCGGGACCCCCCCATTGGGCCCACAGAGGAGCCAGGACAGGAACCTAACAGTGCCCCAGCAGGCTCACCACGTGGTCCCTTCAGCACGGGACCGGCCTCTGACCCTCGGTGAAACATGCTACTTACCGATGCCATAAATGATTGGGAAGTGGTTTTCATTTTCTTCCCGGTCATTTAATTCTAACAACAACAAAAAAAGTTCAAGATTTAATGTCTAAGAAATACTCAACAGTTGCTTTCATGTTCCATAATCAAAGCCAAGAAGGAGCCCAACCACAGAAAGGGGAAAAAAAAGCAGAACATGCAAGGCACTGTTTCCCTGTGTCCCTGCCAAGTCCCCAAGCGGTGGGGCTGGGGTCCACAAGCCCCGTCCCGAGCTGGATCCTCCCGGCCCACCACATCCTCAGCGTCCGCCGCGCGTGGTGGCTGCTCCTTCCCAGGAGCTGGGGAAGCCTCTGAAAAGCCCCAGGAAGGAGAGGGGAGTGGCACTGAAGGTGGGGGTCAGGGTAAGGAGGGTCTGCGTCAGGAGGCGGCGCTGGGGGTGGTCATGGCCGCAGAGGACACCAGTGGGGCACACGTCAGCCACGCGCTGCCGGACTACACCCATGACCGAGGTGCTCGTGCAGAGTCTTACTTTAGGGGGAAGGCACCAGTCTCGGGGAGGATGGCAGAACTCACCTGTCACACACAACGTCACTAAGTGAATGTCCTCCTCTTGTCTGTCAAATTCACCTACAACGAGAGTTCTCAGTTAGCAGCACACAGGCTGAGCGAGG